GTGACAGCGGCGTTGGGCCGGCGCACGCGCCAGCGCCGCGGTCCCGGTGCTCTCGCCCGAGCGGGCCGAGCAAGTTGGGAATGAAACTCCGTGGTTATCCCGTATGGCGAGGCTGGAGAGCCCTGCTTTTTTGAGGTCGGGGCACGCCAGGGACGGTAACTCATTTACGGCGGCCGTTTATAGAGTTCGTTGGAGAGAGTGGAGAAGTTAAATATTGGAGTTTAGTTTAAGGCTTTTGCACCAGGCAAATAGAAAGACTAGTGAAATAACTTCAGCTGTCCCTGCTCCCAACCTGATGGAAAAAGAATGAGAGCGCTCAGATAACCAGCAGTTGATGGACAGAAACCTGGGTAGTTCACACAGCAACGTGGAAGGGGTGAGCTGACAGCTACTCATCTACACGGGAATGAGGCCTAGGAAAACTGAAGATGGGGCGGCCGCAGTAGATCAGGAGCCACTGTTTGTTTCTTTTGCTATGCCTTCTAAATCTGAACCATATTCATGTCGTTCCTTTTTGAAAACTCGCAGGGGCTCACCAGTGACTTTTTTGGGGGGCATGGGGAGACAGGGTCTGGCTGTGTAGTTCAGGCTGGCCTTGAACTCACTATGTAGCCCAGCTTGATCTCGAACTCACGGTGATCCTCCTGCCTCAGCCTCCTGGGTGCTGGGATTACAGGTGTGCGCTACCCTACCCAGCTCATAATGACTTTAATGACATTGTCTGCTTTTTTTAAAAAAAGTGCCTACAAAAGTCTCAAGTTCAAAATCTTAATTTTAAAAAATTTTATATTGAAATATTTATTCAGATGAAGTTTTATATGAAATGAAGAATGGCTTCTTTTTGGTTTTGATTAATCTAGTGAATATTTTACTGACCATAAACTGAGTACTCTGTAAAGCTTTCTGTCTAGCTTGAAAGTCTTAAGCTCGATATTTACTGTGAATTTAGGAGTGCTGTTTGGAATTGTCCCTCTTTCCTGAGTCTGCTGAAATAGATACCTGTCCATTTTACGGAACAGCCTGAGTTTCAGGGATCATGTGAGCTTTGGCATACTGAGCTAATAAGTGAGTACGACTAGTATTGAGAGTATTTAGTTACTTCGTTTACATTTGTATAGACATCAGAATGGATTGTGTTATCAGCCTTGTTGCAAGATACTAGAACATTGTAGCCTTTTCAGTTTTGAGCCTTATTTAAAGGCAGATTTGACCTTTCACTTTTTCTGTGGGAAGTGACAGGTAAGACATCTGTTACAAAAATTTGGTACACATTAACAGATGCAAACAAAAGATTAGAGAAATCAAAAAAGAATTCCCAGAAAATTAAGTTTTAATGGAGTAGTTTGAACTAATAGTGAAGTATCTTCACTGGGATTATGGAATATAAATGGTGCCTACTCTGGTGAATATAATTGATCACTTGGAGTTAATTTTGAAGATTTACAAGTTGTAAGGGACTATAGAGACCATCTGGTCCAGCCACTTTTAGTACAGAATTTGTTTGTCTAAATAACCTATTTCTTTCACATAAAGTTTGAAATTTATCTTGGGGGCTGGAAATTGAATTTGTCCATTATATTCCCATATTGGAATATTGGCCTATTTCCATTTATTCCCACAATATGGTTCTATAGAGTAGTTTGATTCCTTGGTTTTGGAATCAGACTGACCTTGTGTTATAATGTCGCCTTGACATTTTCTAGATTTGTGATCATAAGCAGGTTATACTTTTCCAGTCTGTAAATGGTCATTGTAGGACATACATCAGAGGGTTATTTTGATGAGTTATGTTAAACAGTAAGCAGAGCAACCTGCCTCTTGGTAGGTATTCAGTAAATTTTAATCCTCTTTATATTGTAGTCTTAGAGTTTGGGGTGTTTTTTTTTTATTGACTAATGGAGAATATGTTTAGGCTGTTCAGATCTAGTAGTGGGAGTTCATTTTGTGCTTTGTTTTATGATTTCCTAAGGCCAGAAAGAGCAGGTATTCTGCACAGAGTGTGTTGATTGTGAATTTTGTGTTTTCATTTGGAAGATCATGTTTGTCAAGCAAGTGTTTGCTTGCTCACAGGTTACCAGTCTAGAACTGAATTTTGTCACCTTAGATAATGTAGTGAATCATTCTGTCACCAAATTTTTGAATTTTAATTTTTAGTACTGCACTTAATCTTTTTGTGGGAAGATTCACATAAGGCTTAGTACTATGAGATGGACTAATAGTCCTTAAGCAGTACAACATGTGCATTTTTTAAAAATGTCCTCAAAAGCCAACTATGTAAAAAGAAAGTTAAGTTCTTCAGCTTATGCTGCTTAGCCTTTATGAATAAACAAATGTAAGGTTAATGTCATTTGTAATGACATAGGAAATGAAGAGAAAACTGAGGTATTTATTGTAATAGTTTGTGTCAGTATACAATTTTTCAGTAGAGTTAATGTTTTGCTTCCTTTTCAAAGAAAAGAAAGCTATTTGCCATTGGCAGATACAGACTTAGGTAAGACTGTAGAGCTGTTACTATTCATGGTGGAAAAAGGAATGCTTTCTTTCCAGTTAAAAGGTGAGAACTAAGCCAGGCATAGTCACGCACTTCTAATTCCAGCGTTTGGGGAGGCAGGAGATGGTAAATTTGAGCCCAGCCTGGGTAGTATAGCGATGTAGTGAGAAGTTGTCTCAAAAATTAAAAAAAAAAGCTGGGGGGATGGGTGTGGGCTGGAAAAAAAGCTACTTTGAAGGCCCTGGGTTCAAACCCCAGTAATACTGCCCCATGCCACCTGCGCCACCCCCCCACACACACAAAAAAGAAAAAGATTAGAGCAGGATACTTTCTTGTTACCATGGCTTTATTTTTCTCCTAGCTATGTCACTATCTACAGAGGCAGTGGAGGAATTGTGTGTATGATTGGACTCCTTCCCCACTGCTGGAATGATGCTCAGGGTGTGTCAATTGAGAAGGAAATGAGTACCTGCTGGAAGCAGGGACCACACATCTTAAGCTCCATTTTAATAATCTCCTATCATTTCAATAGAACAGGTTAGAAAATAGGGTTATTCAAAGTGCATGTAGAGTTTGTTTTGAGGAAACTTCTGACTGTTCAACCATCTCAAGCATTTGCTTTTTGTAACTATTAAAGAATTTCTTAAGAAGAGATCCTCAAGAACTGACTCAGCTGAAAACTGCCTGTCTTATCCTACTTGTTTGCCCTTGGTTAGGATCCTATCTCAATGAATAGATTAAATCTATCAGGGTAAGAATATTTTTCAAGCACTGAAAACAGCATTTCTGAAGAATGGCATCTACGGAGTCCACCAAAAGAATGTATGCAACAAGAATAGAAGAACTTGTATAAATATTTTAAAACTAAATTTATTGAGACATCATGAGATTAATACAAGCTATCTTTGGCCTCTATAGTTACAAGAGGTGCTCAAAGTGGTGGCCATTAGCTTCCAGACATTTATTATTACAGTGAACTGCTTAAGTGTGTATACATTTTTTTGGCAGACTCTGTCGAGCAGTATGAGATTATTAGGTAATTCTCAGGTGACTGTTTTGCCAGAAAATTTATTTCTAAAGAGTTTATGTGATTATTTTTTTCCCCGAAATTCAAAATATACAGAAGTACAGAGAAAAGTTCAGTAAGCTCATGACCATATTTTCTATATAGTCTCTCTTTTTTTTTTTTTTGTCTTTTTTGAGACAGGGTCTCGCTATGCAGTTCAGGCTGGCCTTGAAAATTGGATAACACTGTCAACATTTATAGGCTACCCAAAATAATTCTGAAAGGGACTTTTAATTTCTTATGAACAAGTTGATTTTTCAGCCAAATAATCATTTAGGGAACTTTTGAAATGAGTTATAGACCAACTCCCTATTTTAAGTAGTAATTTTAGGTATTTCTTTAGGAATCCTTTTTTGTATTTTATCAGAATTTTGTGTTAGCATTTACAAAGTCATAGTGTTTATAGAAAATTAGGCAGATTTTTCTGAAGCATTGTATGGGACATTCATGCCTACATTTAGTTCCCAGAGATAATTGCCTACCCTTCTTCTGTAATTAAACTGTATTAGGTGTGACTGTCTCTTTTTGCTGACATCATTTTGTTTCCTTTAAGCATGCTGGTTAGGTACTCACTTCAGTCAGGCTTGTTGCATGCACTTTGGGGTGAGGGTGACTGGTAAGGCTTGCCTTTCGTGCTGTTTTTATAAACTGAGGTGCAGATGTTATGACTCTTGCCAGGAACTACTCCTTTTGCTATTAAAAGCTATTCTGTAATGGAGGATTTCTAGTTAGCGTCATTGTGTCTACATTAATAGGTATGTGAGGTAAGGTTTATGTTTCTTTGTTTTGTTTGAGACAGGGTCTTGCTATGTGGTTCAGGCTGGCCTTGAATTCACTGCATGGCCCAGGGTGGCCTCAGACTTCTGAGTGCTGGGATTATGGGTGGGTACCACCACGCCTGGTTAGGTTTACATTTTGATGGGGGAAACCAGGGGCAGTGATAGAGATGGGACATAGAGTTAGTCTGAATGCCATACTGAGAGCAGTGATAAGAGGAGGGACTTCGACACTGAACAGAAATGTTGCTCTGTGTTGAAGGTATTATAATGGACATGCTTATTTTTCAGCAACATTTTTCCCCTTTTAGCCTTGGGTTTTGTATACCAGTTTCTTAAAACCATTAGAAGCAATTTGAGATTTGAAGATGAGTAACTGATAGCACTGAAGCTGGACATAGCTTCTTAGCATGTACTGTAACCATTCTTTTCGATGAAATTCCTCCTGTGCTTTCAGAGGAATTTACTCTAGAAATAATTATTGGAGAGTCACTTAGCTCACAGATAGTTAATTTATATTTCAGGATGTAGAGAAGAAATTATACTCTATAACATGTGAAGAAACTTCAGTCCATTCAGAACAGGTCCTTTCATTGTATTTCACTGAGATTATGGGATGGTGCTCTCTGGGCCTCAGTTTCCTTATCTGTAAAATGTGAACGATACCACCTCATTTTCAGGACTATTGTGAGGATTAACCATGTACTACGTATAAAACTCTTTGTATTGTACCTAGCACACAGTGACCACACAGTGTTACCTCTTACTGCTGTTATCACTGTTAGGTTGTGACTAGCTGCTCCCTGAAAGCATGAGCCTCCTATCCAAAGCACTGCTTAAGCAGCATATCACAGACCCAGTCTTCCTCTGTTCTGTGACGACTAAACCAATGATAACAAAAATGCCGTATGTTAGCTTTTATTTTTAGCTGGTTGGATCCCCTTGTGGTGGAGTGTTTTGAGAAAGCACTTAGCAAACCAATGAGATAATGTACAAACAGTGGATCTTTAATTTCTAGTGCAAGTAATCTTAATAATGCAATAATGAGTAATTGGCTTGTTTTCAATAAGTATAAAACTGAACCATGTGTTAAATGATCAGATAAGATGATTATAAAATGTGTGTATTTTTATTTTTTATTATTATTTTAATTAAGTTTATTGGTACATTTTTGGTATACATAATGATCACATTCAGCATAGGGAGTTTGTACCTGTACATGATGTATCTTGATTTTTTTTTCCTCATTCCCCTACCTTTGAAACCCCTCTTCCCCTCCCTATTTACAAAAGCCTTGTTTCCATTTTTTCCTTCTTTTCATACTCTTTTCTTTTCCCTTCCTTCCTTCCCCCACTCCCCTGCTTAGTTCCCTTTCCCGTTTGAACATTTTCTTCCTATTTCACAATACCTATTAAAAATTTGATCTTTATTTATACTTTCAGTTTCTCATACCAGAGGAACAGTACATTATTTACACATGTGTATCTGATTTATTCCACTTAAGAGATGATCTCAAGGTGCATCTATTTACCTAGAAATGTCTCAAGATTATCCTCCTTTATTTAAAAATTTTTTTTTGTCTTTGTGAGACAGGGTCTCACTATGCAGTTCAGGCTTGCTTTGAGCTCACCTTGTAGCCCAGGCTGGTCTTTTTTTTTTTTTTCCAGGCTGGTCTTGAACTCAAAACAGTTCTGCTGCCTCAGCCTCCTGAGTGCTGGGATTACAGGCATGTGCCACCACACCCGGCTGGGATTATCTTTCTTTATGGCTGAATAGTACTTCCTTGTCTTTTTTTGGTACTGGGAATCAAACTCAGGACCTCATGCCTACCAGGCAGGTGCTGCGCCACTGAGCTAAATCCCCGACCCGGTAGTACTTCATTGTATTAAAAAAAATACATTTTGTTATCCATTTTCCCATCAGTTGATGGGCATTTGGGCTGTTTCCAAGATCAGCTATTAATGAACTGTCTGGCTATAAACATGGGTGTGCATATATTGCTGTGGTGTTATGCTTTTAATTCTTTAGGGAATTAGAAGGGGAATAGCTGGGTCAAATGGGACTGCTAGTCCTGGTTTTAGAGGAATCTCCACACTGATTGCCACAGTAGCTGCACCAGTGTACGCTCCCACCAACAGTGGAGAAGAGTTCCTTTTCCCCCACAGCCCCTCCACCATTTGTTATTGGTTGATTTCTTGATAGTAGCCATTCTTTCCAGGGAGAGAGAGAATCTCAGTGTTGCTTTTTTTTTTTATTTTTAATTTTTTTCATTTTAAGGGGATAAAAAAAAATAACAAAATAATAACATAGGTGAAAACAAAACAAAGCAAAAACAATAAAAATGATACAGGGTTTCAAAACAAAGTGATAGCCGGGTATGGTGGTGCACGCCTGTAATCCCAGCACTTGGGAGGTTGAGGCAGGAGGATTGTTGGAAGTTTGAGGCCAGTCTGGGCTACAAAGTGAGCTCAAGACCAGCCTGAACTGCAGAGTGAGACCCTGTTTCCAAAAGACCAAAAAAAAACCAAAAAAACCCCCAAAATGATAGGAATTAACAGTGGTTGTTTTATATCACACATTGTTATCTTCAAAGAAGTTGCTCAGATTACCAGATGTAAGAATACAAGATTGATCAGACCATTAAAGAGAATAAAAATAATTAAAAAAAATTAGAAATGATACAGAGCTTCACTAAACAAGATAGTAGGAATTCACCAGTGGTTGCTATATTGTATATTGTTGTCTTCAAATGAGTTGTTCAGATTACCAGATATAAGCATGCAAAATTGGTCAAAAAATTTAAGCATTAACTGTTCCTTTCAATAAACCATAGATATCAACAGTACAGTTATCCCACCTATCTGTGTATATATATATATACACACACACACACACACATATATATATATATTTTTTTTTTTTCCCTTCTTTCTTTTTCTCCTTTCCCTCATCCCAGTTGTTCCTTCCCTTTGAGCAATTTCTTTCCCTTTCACAATATCTATTGTACCTTTTGGGTTTTATTTACTCTTTCAGGTTCTTACACTAGGGAGACAATATATGATGTTTATACATGTGGGTCTGATTTATTTCACTTACCGAAGACTAAAACTAGACCCATGTTTATCACCATAAAATCAAAATGGATCAAAGATCTAAATATTAAAACAGAAACACTAAATCTCCTAGACAAGAAAGTAGGTAGAAATCTTGAAGACATGGGGGTAGGCAGAGAGTTCATGAACAAAAACTAAACTTTATGGGAAGTACTTCAAAGAATCAACAAGTGGGATCTCGTCTTACTGAAAAGTTTTTGCACATCAAGAGAAATGACCAACAGAGTAGAAAGGAAACCCATGAATTGGGAAAAAAATGTAGCCAACTGTCTCTCAAACAAAGGACTTTATCTAGAATGTATATAAAGAAGTTTTAAAAATCGGGCCACCAAAATTCAAAAAAGGCGCTTCTGGTATGAATACATCTCAGATGAAGAAATATAAATGGCAAATATATGAAAAAATGTTCAACACCATTGGTCATTCAAGAGATGCAAATTAAAACAACTCTGAGATTACATCTCACCTCAGAAAGAATGGCTGTCATCAAAAAATCGACCAATAACAAATGCTGGAGGGGGGGCTGGGGATTTAGCTCAGTGGCAAAAGCGCCTGCCTGGCAAGCGCAAGGTCGTGAGTTCAGTTCCTGGTACCGGAGAAAAACCAAAAACCAAAAACCAAAAAAAAAAAAAAAAAAAAAAAAAAAAACACAAATGCTGGAGGGGCTGTTGGAGAAAAGGAACCTTTCTCCACTGTTGGTGGGAGTGTAGACTGGTGCAGCCACTATGGAAATCAGTGTGGCTATACTTCAAAAACCAGGATTAGAGGTCCCATTTGACCCAACTATTCTCCTTCAAGGTATCTTCCCAAAAGAATTAAAAGCAGCACACTACTTAACCCAGCTATTCCCCTTCTGGGTATTTTCCCAGAATTAAAAACATCATACCACAACGATACATGTGCACCCATGTTTATAGCTGCACAATTTGTCATAGCTAAATGTTGGAAACAGCCCAAATGCCCATCAGCAGAGGAATGGATAAAAAAGATGTGGTATTTTTATACAGTGGAGTATTACTCAGCTATAAAAAGAGAGAAACTTGAGGTTTTTATAGGTAAATGGATGCAACTGGAGACCATACTCATAAGTGGAATAAATCAGACACAGTGTTATTTTAATTTGCATCTCTTAAATACACAGTGGTGTTGAACGTTTTTCATATAGCTATTTGCTGTTTCTACTTCTTCGTCTGAGAAGTGGCTGTTCATTTCAGTGCCTAAAAAAGTATGTGTTTTTTATAGCAGCCCTCCCCACCCTTTGCAGGCCTCATGGCAGCCTTAATCAAAATACAGTGTTGTGTATTTAATTTCTTTTTCTTTTTAAATTTTTTTGTATTTAATTTCTTTAGTGGACTTACAAACTTTTATTAAGAATCAAAGGCTTAGTTTATATACCTAGACTAATTGAGGTTTATGATCTCTTGCTGTAAAGCTATAAGCTTGGTGTCGTAGTTGTGGCACATTAGTCAGCCTCTTCTTCTAGTAGTGTTAGGGCCTCCTGGCTTGGCATCTGCCATGCTATGACTCAGCTTCAAATGGCATGTCATAGTGTGCCTCATGCTCACTGGGGTGATGTTCAGGTTACCTATAGATTAAAGCCTTATTTAAATACAGGGCTGTGTCTATCCTTTTTTAAATTGAATCTTTTGTTTTTTTTTTTTTTTTTTGGTTTTTCTCCGGTACCGGGAACCGAACTCACGACCTTGCGCTTGCAAGGCAGGCGCTTTGCCGCTGAGCTAAATCCCCAGCCCCTAAATTGAATCTTTTGAATTGTGTGAAGACTTTAGAAAATTGTGTTTGATAATCACTTTATATATATATTTTTTTCCTGGCATTGAGAATCGAACTCATGACCTCGCACTTGCCAGACAGGCGCTGTGCTGCTGATCTAAATCCGCAGCCCCGGTTTATATTTAACTCAGCAATTGAGTTAGGCATCAGTGTGTCCAGCCTAGGTTAAGGAGCTGATCCATAAAGATTTAATCAGCTCTCTTGACTCTTAACACCAGGCTAAAGAATTATGTATTTATTTATTCACCAGTGTTGTGTACTTTTATTTGAAACAACTCAGAATCACTTTTTTTTTTTTTTTTTTGGTTTTTCTCCGGTACCGGGAACCGAACTCACGACCTTGCACTTGCCAGGCAGGTGCTTTTGCCGCTGAGCTAAATCCCCAGCCCCTACGTAGTTTTTTTTTTTTTTTTGGTCAGAATCACTTTTTAAGGCTATTTGTTTTGACCTGGTTGTCTTATAAATTTTAATTGCTAATGTGGAAGCTTTTTTGTAGAATTAGATAAGTTGATATAAAGGTTTGTATGAAAAACAAACATGCAGGAATGGTTAGGAAAACCATTCATGGGTTTTTAGAAATCTAAAAACTGCTGATGGATTTTTAGAAATCCAAAAACCTCCAAGGAGAGTTGCACATGGTGACACATACCTGCAGTTATATCTACTCAAGAGGCAGAGACAAGAAGATCGTAAGTTTGAGGCCAACCTGGGCACTTTTGTGAGACCCTTTCTCAAGATGAGAAAGGGTCGGATATAACTCTGGTAAATGATCCCCAGGACAGGGGAGAAGAGAAGAGAAGCCTCTAATCAAAATACAGTGATGCTCATACTTGAAGAGACAACTTGACAGTGGGATAGGATAGAGCGCCTAGAAGTAGACCAGGTACACAGGAAAATTTAGTGAGTGGTAAATCAAGAGGCAAAGAGGAGTTTTTGTCTCTTTTTATTTGCTATTTATTTATTTATTTATTTATTTGCTCTTTTTTAAAAACGTAATACAAGTAGATATTAGTAAAGAAGATCTGAAATACATGTGTATGAAAAAATAAAAATTTCACAACAAGAAATAGAGAATAACAATACTTAATATAGTGTGTATTATGATCTTAAAAGAGTGGCCAAAATATTACTCAGTACATGTCATAGGCAAAAAAAAATCTTACACAAAGCAGAAGCAAAGGACAGAACTTTCACAAAGAGGGATTTTTAAAAATGAATTATACTGTGCAGCTGACTATTTGCAAAGTATAAAATTAGCTGTGTGGGGTGACACAGGCCTATAACCCTAAATCCTAACACTCTGTGGTGACACCTGTCACTGCAGCTACTCGAGGCTGAGGTAGGAGGATCACAAATTAAAGCCTAGCCTAAACAATTTAGCCACTCAGCAGGACCGTCTCAAAACTTAAAAAAAAAAAAAAAAGAAAAAAGCTGTAGTTCAGTGCAGTCTTTAGTTATTGCAAACCAAACAACAACAAAAAGAGATCAATGCTTTACATCATACATAGGGGAGAAACTCCAAATAAATTTAGGTCACGATCTAAAATGACAAAACAAAATTATAAACAAAATTATAAATTCTGAAAGAAAATGTAGTGGGAGAGTTCTTTGGTGTAAGATTTTCTAACTAACCAAAATCTAAAGGTAATAAAGAAATGACTGGTAAATGTGGTACAGTGTGTAGCATGGGACTTTGAGTAATGTGGGGCATTTCCTTAACAGATGCCACTCAAATCTTTCAGATTTAGTAATGTGTACTTTAAAAGAAAAATGCTGAAGAATTAATGATAGATTGAGCTTAAGTGATGAATTCAGGAAGGTAACAAGATACACAGTTAACATACAAAATACAATGGGTTTCTATACACAGATAATTAGAGGATGTTTGTTTGTTTGTTGAGACAGGGTCTCACTTTGTAGTGCAGGCTGGTCTTGAATTCACTTTGTAACCCAGGCTGGCTTTAAACTCACAGTGATTGTCCTGCTTCAGCCTCCCGAGTGCTGGGATTAAAGGCATGTACCACCACACCTGGCTCAGTTAGAGGATTTGATAAGGGAAAAACTTCCCCCAAATCCCTATTTATAAAAACAATTTAGGAAGCTATCAAATATTTATAAAAAACCTGTATAGAAATGTGTAAAATCACTTAAAGAGAAACTTTATTTAAAACATTCCTGAAAGGTATAAAAGTAGACTTGAACAGATGGAAAGAGAGCTCTTAATTAGGGGCTTAGTATTAAAATGTCAGTTCCATTAATTTATTAATTAGTGTAGTACTGAAATATGAAAAATATTAACAGGTTTATTTTTATGGAGTTAGACAAGTTGATAGGATCATAAGGAACAAGAAACATGCAAGAATTTGTAACAGGGTCTTTTTCTTTAGGATAACTGGGATGATGATGATGATGAAAAAAAAGAGGAAGCAGAAGTAAAACCAGGTGAGCCACTGGTCTTCTGTTCTTGGTTTATATACTGGTAGGCATGTGGTACTTAATGAAATTACAAAATGCTCACAAAATGAAATGTTGAAAATGTTGGTGTTTTTTTTTTTTTTTTTT